AGCAAATAAAAGTTTTCCGTGCAACAGACACTAATTCATCTCCATACTCCTGCTGGAGCTACAAATCTTCTTTTGTTACTGCCAACATGTTAGTCTATCAAGGGCACTTTTTTGTTGTTGTTAAGACATTGTTTCAGGATCCAATTTTATCTCACTAGAATGTGATTGATGGCTTTCGAGGCCTGCTGTGTAGCTGCTATCCTGGAGCTTTTCCTTTATTGTTATATGTTTTAATTACCAATAGCTCTTTCTTATTACGTAAATTTCCTTTTCCTTTTTATAGCATCCTACTCTTACTTCACAGATGCCATAATTATTAATATTTCTAAACAAACTAATTACACATTTTTTAAGAGGATTTTTATTTTGCCCGTTGAATAATCTTGGTTTCCTCTGAATTCTTTTGTTCTTTATTTTTGTTCTCTGTCTCTCATGCTAGAGACTTTCCTTCAGTCTCCTGATCTTGACTGTCTGTTCTTGTTTGGCAACTGGAAGCTCTGTGCAAAGACCGAACTTGTTAATAGTTGGGCTTTACTTTCAGGTGACTCCCAAACGTCATTATCTACAGGTATGTCTTTTGGCCTGTCAGTTTCAATATTCTACTTGAGAACTGTAAGCTTTGCTTCCAATATTGCATGAGTTGAAAAGATTCCCCAGTTTCTTCTAGGCTGGGCTAGCTATCTGGGCATGGAGTCACTATTCCTTCCTAGCGTCTGACATCCACTACCACCACCCACCATACACACACACGCAGTGATACTTGACCAGTTCATGATTGTATGGTTCAATCCACCTGAAAAACCCTGATGACCCATAATCTTAATAACTGTGTTGAATGTTCCGAGATACTCACCTTCTCCAGTATCTCCTGTCTTTAGGCACAGGGCACTTCTACCATCTAGAACAATGCTTGGCAAGTTAGTTTATGCTCTGGTTTCCTTCTGTAAGCTTTCTGTAAGTTTTTCAGAGGTAGCCTAGGTTTGGGGATTCACTGAGTGTTGCCTTTTTTGTCAGGGAGGATGTAGATTTTTAAAATCATTTTTTTCCTCTTGTTTCTAGAGATTTGCTGAAGGAGGAAAGAGCTGGACCCTTACTTTTCCTGATTCTTTTCATTTTGCACCTTGACTAGCAACCTGAAAATGAACATTTCAACATTTTTTATTAATTGCAATTTCTTTTAGATTGTCTCTGTTTTTGTCCATTTTCATGTCACTATACTAATATATTTAGACTCAGTAGTAACCTTCTATTTGTTATATTTGCTGAAATATTTTTCAGTTATTTTCTCTTTATCCTAGTTATCTTATTTCTCATAGGATTGAAATTTCACATCTTGACATAATCAGTTTTGTCAATATTCTCCTTTGTAGAGAATATTTTGTAAATGTCTGATAAGTTCACAATTATTTTTAGCTTTTCTTGTAATGTAGACTTTAAATATTTATCTTACTTATCCTGAAATTATTTTATAATTTTCTTATCAAGTATGAATCTATTCTCCCCCAATTTACAAATTGTTAACTAGTTATCTTGACATTATTTAATTTAAAAAATTTCATCATTTATTTTTCTAATGTCACATATTGCATTTATCCATAAAATGTGCTATATTTCTGCTTTCTGCTCTGTTCTACTGATGTCTTTCTATTTCATGCCATATTCATTATATTACTTTTTATTTTTAATAATTCATTGGCTGATCTGATTTCATTTGCTTCTTTTTCAATTATTATTTAACAGTTTTTCATTCATAATGTAACAACTATTCTGAGCTAAGTTATTAAATTTTAAGTGTAAATAAGAGTTGTCCTTTGTCTTTAAAGAGTACATATTCCCAAAGAGTGTGGTCAGTCATATTGAGGAGTTCCAAGAAGACGTCTTTGAAAGATCAAGTTGTAAGGAAGGAATAAATTTTTGAAGGAAAAGCATAAGTTGTGTCTTGCTATATAGAAAGAACTTCACCAGGGCAATGAATGTATGAGCATAAAGGAATCTATATATCCAAAAAAAATGTAAGCAGGTGCCCATACAGAGATGGCTGGAGTGTTGGGTGAAGGCATGGAGAGTAGCTGAGTATGAGGCTGGAGAGATAAGCTGGAGCACCAATCTTTTACATTTTTAATTGAATTTTGTAATTATTTGGTGAAATTCAAAACCATCTTTAATAAACTCATGATCAGGATAATATTCAATATATTAGATATACCATAAATAATTATTTAATTGAATTGAGTTCTTAATATCATTTGTTGAAGAATGAGATAGATAAAAGTAATAAAATATACAGTATAGACTGTTTTTTAAGTGTCAATAAAATTAAGAGTATAGTAAATCCAAGATGTGTGTTCTTTTTCAAAGTTAAAACTGAAGTAGAGAAGACTACCCTCTGCAAGAATAGTCAGTCAGCTTTAAGACAGGGCACACAAAATCAGTTGCCCTGATTTTATCAAGGCTGTCTAATTCTCATTAGTATGTTGTCCACTACAAAAATAGGGATAAGTTCCATCAGCCAGCAGAGTCTTGTGGAATAGTAGTCATTCTTCACAGCAATATGGAGGCAGTTCCTTAAGAGAAACAAAAGGAACAAATAGAAGTATACTAACTGCTCTAGAATGTTGATGGTGGAATGAAAGAACTAGAATATTCTAGTTCTTTCTCGGGACAGTATGAGCATAGGAAGAATTTTATTATGTCCTAACAAAGTTTAAAAGACAGAAGAGAATAATTCAGTAGATATGGAGAGGCTGAATATTTTAAGAAGGGAAACCTACTTGAGAACAAGAGTTCTTTAAAAAGTGTGATATAGCTTGTTCCAAGACACAGAGGGGAAGAGGGAACACTTCTTCCTCTTAGAATTGCAACAAGGATAAAATTAGACGATGAAAAGAAATAGATGTTGAGGGGTGGATGCAGAGAAGTAGACAGCTTACATCGTTGACTTTGATCTTCTAAAGAAGAATATCCCCTGGGCACCTGCATCAAAATCACCAGGGAGTGCTGGAAAAAAAATCAGCTCCCTTGATCACTCTCATCAGAGTCCAGGAAGCTGTGATATTAGGTTATTTTAGCTAAAGTTTGAGACCTACTGCTCAAATGAAGTCGGTGATTATCTGCAGGTTGTGTCTACATGACTGGGAAAGCATTATTGTTTTAGAAAGAGAGCAGAAGATAGGGATGGGCAATGGGGAGAATAAAAAAAAAATTCTAATCAGAGCCTATTTTGAAGTTGAGAATTGAGAATTTGTGTTGGAAAGGCTGGCTCAGCCTCAAAATATGGTTCACTGTGCTTCCATGACTACCAAGGCAGAGTGATTTCACCTAAAAACCCTGTGATCACTTCCCTATTTGTCAAAGCCTGGGGAAAATTGCTAAAGCAGGCTGCTAAATCAAGGACATAAAGAAAAACTGAGTGATTCCCCTTCCTTTGGGCTTGAAAAACATACCTTTCTTGGCAGGCAGAGTTAATAACACTGATTACTACATAAAATCCTGTGGATTTGTGTATTCAGAATTTGGTTTCGCATATTTGCAATGAGCCCTGCCAAAATGTCAGGCCAGACTCACCTCTGCTAGTTGTGGCTCAGATCCATTCTTAGATGATGCTACTCCACTAGCACATCACCTGGGATGGGCCACTTCCTTGTGTCAAAGTAAATAAAAGTTGCAAGGCCCTAGTCTAATTCATTTTTTTTCTCTCTCTCTTTTTTTTACTTGAGCTATATAAGCAACCTCTTAACTGATCTCCAGGGCACCAGCCTCTTCCTTCCCCAGAATACCTTCTAAACTGCCAGAGTTATCTTTTTTGACATAGACTCACAACTAAACAAATGAAATATTTGTAGTCCAAATAGTAAGGGCTATAAGTACTCACTGCTGTGAAGGTTCTTCATCACCACAGAGTGAAATCCAAACAAATTAGAGATGCGCAAGTTTTTCGCAATATGCTTCATCTTCAACCACTACCCCCACCATTCCTGTCTGCTCATTACAAGAACAATAAATACCTTTGTCATTGTTTTAGTACCCTGTGTACCTTGTCAATGACCAAAGTGTCTCTTCTAGTTTAATTGCTGCTTTTGTTGTTTCCCCGAGAAGGTGTATTTAAATTTCATCTCTGTAGCTTTCTTGGACACCACATTCCTTCCCAAGGTAGAATTTATTATTTTTTTCATCTGTATTTTGTAGTTCTTTATACAGATATAAATGTCGCATTTAGAATATTAAATTGTACTCATTTATATTTTTGTTTCCACATGTGGACTTGAATTTCTTGAGAACAAAAATTGGGTCATTAAATTTTAATTCCCCAATGCCTGACACATAGGATGTATACCATCAATTTTATTTGAATATATCTGAACTTTCATTTTATGTAATCCAAAGTAAAAGAACATAGGAAGGAAGTGTTCTTTGGCAGAAGCAACATGGGTAACATTTAACATCATTTTATAATAGTAATGAGTCTTTTTTCTATGTAATATTATAGTTACGATATAGCATTGATTAATCTAAATACTTGTAGTATCATAAAATTTCAATGGGAAGAAATATTTTAGAGGAAGTTCCATTGATTTGCATGCAGATGAGGAAACCAGTCCTGTGCTTATGTTAGGCCATAGAAGTAGCTTTTATCAAAAGCCTATCCAATAACCAGAAACCTTTTGAATTCATGAATATTAAACCATCTTTAAATTCCAGGCAAATAAATTCTAGGAGATAACAAAATGTGCAATGCACTTCAGTTCAGAGCGAGTCCCATTAAGGAATTTTAACCTGAGTTTAGAAATGTTGAGGTGGAGAAAGCCAAGCTGGCTACATGATGAGAGATAATTGGTAAGTTCAAGGAAGATTTTAATTATAAGTGAGTATTTTTCATGTTTTTTTTTTTTTCTTTTGGTTGCGTTGACGTTATCTATCAAAGCTGTCAGAAGGACAGTAGAGTAGGTGTTTATACATTTCTTTCCTCCAGGTTTACTTAAGCCTCTTTTTCTCTACAATAGATTTCAGAACCTGCTGTGGTCCAGAAAGACATTTGTGGACAACATGAAAATCTATAACCACAGTTACATCTACATGCCTGCCTTTTCTATGAAGACGGGGACAGAGCCATCCCTCCGGGTTTATTATACACTGTCAGATGTCGGTGCCAATCAAACAGTGCTCTTTGCTAACCCCAACTTTCTGCGTAGCATTGGGAAGTTCTGGAAAAGTAGGGGAATTCATGCCAAACGTCTGTCCACAGGACTCTTTCTGGTGAGCGCAGCCCTGGGCCTCTGTGAAGAGGTGGCTCTCTATGGCTTCTGGCCTTTCTCTGTGAATATGCATGAGCAGCCCATCAGCCACCACTACTATGATAATGTCTTGCCCTTTTCTGGTTTCCATGCCATGCCGGAGGAATTTCTCCAACTCTGGTATCTTCATAAAATTGGAACACTGAGAATGCAGCTAGAGCCATGTGAGGATGCTTCACTCTCACCCACTTCCTAGGGACAGTGGGCAAAGAAAGAACTAAGCCAGGGTATTTTTGTTAGGTTTCTATGTGACTGCAAAAGGAAATCATCAAGTCGTTCCATGGATTTGCATGGGCTGCTTGGAAACAACAATGACCCAACAGAAACTCCACTTTTGATGTTGGTTTGGAGGACAAATAGGAAGCCAAACATTCTCTGAAACATTTTATAGCACAGTGTGGATTTGTGCCTAATAATCTGACAACAAGATGTCGGTAAAGCACATTGACATGGGTTAAATCTAGAAGGTGCAGTTCACAAACAAGATGGAACTCTGGTTGTTGAAGCTGAAAAGTTAATCAAGGTAAAATAAAGGAATTGCCAGAGCAAAAGTATTGCTGGTTATCAATACAAAATGGCTTAATTAAAAAAAACAAAAAACAAAAAAAAAAAAACAAAAAAACCTACTTATGGAGACTGATATTAGAATTATAGATTTTTAAAAAATTATTATTTATTTTTGCTCTATTTAAGGGCAGTGAGTGGGTGATTGGGTAGATTTAAAAAAATCCCTTACTGAGTACTAAGAATATAAAACTGATATTATGATTTGTTGAACCAAGTCTATGTTAACTATAGTTTTCCTCCATTTAAAAAATGTTAAATAAGAATTGTTTTGTCCCCTTTTGTCAAGTCTACTTAGACAATGTGAAGCATTATTGAATTTAGACTCTGTTGATTCATAGTCTGGATAATTTGAGCCACTTTCCCTCCTTCTCTGAATTTAGGGCATAAACTCAATTTTAGGTCTGCATTATGTAAGACTGTTTGCATTATTATTATTATTTTAGTGCAAAAAGACTATAACTGTGAGTGCATTATTTGCATAATTGTCTTCATAATTTAAAGCACAGTGATATAAAGCTTAGTCTCTGGAAGACAGACTGGAAGGCTCATCTCTTTTCTATCTACTTTGGTATATTCAATCCAAGATAAAGCATATGCGTGCACACCTACGAACATGCATATTTTCATGGACATACACACACACAAACACAAACACACAGTTAAACAAAGCTCATTCCTGTGCAACTATGAAAGCTGAACCTATATGACCTGGTCTTTCAAAAATCTGCAACCAGTGTTAGAGAGCTACAGATGTATTATGTATTGCCCACTACTCCTTGATATCAGACAAGCTAGCTACTAGTTGCTGCTCATAATGCTCAAACCAGCATGAGATGTAAGCCTTACTTCCAAATGCTGACCCAAAATGAACAGAATTGTTTTACTCATTCTGACTCTCCCCAGCATCTCATGAATGGACCCTGTGTTGAGCATGGTCACACAAGGCAGGTTCATATAAGTAAAGGGATGCGAATTAGTAGTTATGTATTCTTTTAGTAGCAGGTAGGACTACTTAGAAAGCTAAACAAGCAGCCAGATATGTTTACCTATAAGAGAAAGGTAAAGAAAACCTTTTGTTGTCTTTGTGCTTGGGATGCCTGAATCTAAAAGGAGATACTAGAAATCACTATCTTTATTTAGTTGAAATATGACTGGTTGACATAACACAGATTACATTGATACTTAGTTAAGAATTTGAGAATATTGATTCTGCGCAGAACTGACTTGCTATTTTGATCCTATTTGGCAGCAAAAATGTAGTGAGAATGTAATATTGAGTGAGCTGTGTTAAATATTCACTATATGTTCAATCTTGAATATATTTCCTCTTTTGAGCTATTGTTATTATTTAATAATTACTCTAAAAAGGAATACATTTTTACTTATACGTTTCATCAGAAGTATAAAAAGACTAACCAAAAAACACATACAAATATTAATAAAGTATGTCACTCAAATTAGTGCTTTAATTGTTAAAATTGTTAAAGTGTAATTAATGAGCTTCATAAAGACCATGTATCACAGTTCCATTGAAAATACTATCTGGTAATGCTACGTCTTGTTATGATTCCTGGAATAGATATGTACAATGTTTAGTCTATAAATTTGTGGCTTCTGAAATGCAAAACCAGAATATCCCAAACTGCTAATGTTCAATTAGACCACTGCTTCTCAACTGTGGTGATTCTTCTCCTCCATCTGCTGACATTTGGCAATGTCTGGAGACATTTTTGATTGTCCTGATTTGACGGGTGCTTCTGGCATCTAGCTAAATATCCACAACGCACAGGTCCCCCACAACAAAGCATTACCCAGTGTAAAATGTCAATAGTGCCAAGGTTGAAAAACCCTGGATTAGACTAAAATGATGATTTGATTGTTCTATATTGTCTTCACATAAGGATACACATACATGGTTATGTCATTCAAAGTATGACTATAACGAGAATATTTTCTTAGAGTAGATTACAATTTGGCATTACTTTATAGTGACAACTCATAGGTTTGCTACTCATATTTCCTTTTCTGTGGTGAGATAGATGTATCTAAACTTAGGCTTGTGAGTGTGTATGTGTGTGTAGAATAAACTTATGTATCTCTATCCTTATTAAAATATATGTGTTCCTAAGTGAGGATCTCTCTAGAATTATCTTGCAGAGTACTCTGAAATACTCTGTTACTATTAAGAAATTGAATTCTATACTCTCATTATTTTATTCTGTTTTCCTGAAATTGAGGCCTTCAAAATTGCGCCTCATACTTTCCCAAATTTGCTTGATTATATATTTCATATTATTGACCCTTAAGATTCGACTCAGAAGATATTCAGGTTGCAGTAGACACATTCAATAAGAAATGTTTTATCACTTTCAAGGCAACTGCCAAGAGAGGGCATCACCCTCTAACATCAGTCTAATTTTTAAAAAGTTTTTTAGTGACAAAATTAGGTTGCTCAATGGGGGCGAAAAAGGGGGTGAAGGGACTGAAAATGAGTATCTGATGAGACTTTTTATTAACTCCATTTAAGATTTGCATTGATGCTAAGGGTCATGAATGAAGATGACTTCTGTTTAATTTTAATTACACCAGTAAAATTAAGATAGGTGAAGGATTAAGTCATTTCATAAGAAAGAAAAATAATTTTTCATATGAAAGCTTTTTATGTGTAAGAGGGCATTAGACACATAAGCTTTATATAGAGTATTTGACCAATAGTTTATGTAACGTTGTGCATCTAAACTGTAATTAATACAAGAAGTTAAAGAGTGGTTCCTGGATTTTGTTTCTGTTTAGTTCACTTTTAGCTATTTTAACAAAGGTAAATGATCCAGAATGATCCAGATGATCCAAAATGACAAATATTCAGACAACACTTTGTATCTGACTTTGCCCTTCTTTTGGCTAAAAACTCTGTTTAAGTTAAATATTAATTGTACCTGAAGCAATGGACAACGAGGCTTTAAAAATTTACTTGGAAATTAAGTGAAAAATTCTAGGATTTTAAATTTGCCAAAAATATTCTTAGATTAGTCAAAAACTTTACAGGAGTATTATAGATGATTCCAAATGGAAACACTATCAATAACATTTCTTCTTGTCAGCAACTATGGTAGTTGTCTATTATATTTAATCTCTTATTTCTTTGAAACAGTCTATAGTTTTAATTTTTATGTTTAAAAATATTGACTTTGTGAAATTTTTAACTCACAAATCCTTGTTAGGAGATAACTAAGGGGAAAAAATGTCACAATCTGCTGAAAACTTTAGGAAATTTTTATTGTGTTGTATGAAAATTTTCTCACCCAACCATATAATATCTCTTCTGTTCGTAGTGTTTCAAAGATCAAAGCTATAAGGACTTTTATGGGAACTTGAGAACAAGTATATGTGCAATGAGGACTGAGAATAACACTATGCTTTTATTTCTTTATCTTCTTAGTGTAGAAGTTGACTCTGATTATATGACTTTCGATGGGTACACATCAGGGCTGGAGGTGGGTAAGCAACTCCAGGCACCTGCAACTTAGGTCAAGCTTCTAATGAAGTAAGCAGTAACTATAACTAAATATCACTAGTGATTTTGGCAACTTCAATCCACTGTGTGCTAGAGAGAGGATGAGGTAAGTGGAAAGGAGGAGCTAATCTCAGCATGCAAAGGGTCAGAGAAGTCTCTGCCCTCAACCTTGGCTTTCCAGCACCATCTATCTCTGTCTAATACCATGGAAGCTGGCCTTGCTCTGGGGCTGATCTAGTAGCCTTGTGACTAGACAGCTGGTGTGAAAATTTGCTGAGAAGCTTAAAATGTTACACTATCTTAAACAGAGTTTTTTGTTGTTGATTTTTTCCCCCTTAAACTTGCACTTTCTAAATTTGGGTGTCTTATGACAGAGTTGTGGTCACCCTGACCTAATTGTGGTCCTGCCAATGATTATTAAAAATGGAAATTTTCCCTTTTAGATGGATTTTTTGAGTCCTTGAAGGCAGGGAGATAGCAAATATTCTACCAGTTCCTGTAGACCTCTTTGAAAGCCCTGGAAATGAAACCAAGGGAATTCTGAAGCCTAGAGTGTCTTTTTTTAAATTCCTAAATATGAGGCCATGATATATAGCTTGGGCGAGTGGAAGGAGACATATATGAATCTATAATTGCCTTAGCCTTTTTTCTTCCTATCATAAGAAAATCAATACTATCCATGTTATCTTCAGCTAATATTGTCTTTTGACTATTTACACACACCTTAGAGGTGAGAGATTGAATCAAGAGCATGAATGGAAAACTCATTCAAACACAACACAACCTCTGCTTGTTATTGCAATAAGGGAAAAAAAAAATATGGTTCCATTATCTTCTCTCTGGAGCCGGCATTTCTGATTTATTCTATCTCTAACAAATAAGGAATAAAGAATTTAGAAATATGCTTATGAACATTTGTGTGATAGCCAAAGCCCATAACTGTAACTTTTTTAAAGCACAAAAGAGGAATTATATTTTGTTTATGGTCATTTATTTACCTACCTTCTCTGTATTCTTATTAATCTATACATTGTACTAAAATTCTTTCTGATCTTGATTTCCTGTTCAAACAGTGGGAGATAATCAATGTTGCAAAGCTGTCTAGGAGTTTTATAGAATAATACCCAAATATATTGACTATGACTCTTTCCGCTTCTATGTAATTAGATTTTCTCCAGATATTTGTCATTTTACAAGTGTATGCTTCACATGATACCAATAAGCATCTACAAAATATGATTTTATCTGGGGCAGAGAAAACCAGGAGTCAGATATGTCTGCTTTTCTCTGCATAGTAAAAGAAATGGAGAATTATAAGGTTTAATTAATAAATGGAGAATTTTAAAGGCTTAACCAAAATGAAAAATAAAAGAAAGATAAAAATCAGGGTTTTAATTTTGAAGGACCATTGGGAGAGATCTTAGAAAGTAGCTAAGCAGAGAGCACACAGGCTTTTGTCCCTGAGTACAGTCCCCAAAATAGAACCTTTTCAAAAACATTTTAAAGGAAATATACTGTCATGCAGTTGTTATGACTAACGATGAAAGAT